GGTGAGATGTGTTTGGGTAAAGAGAAACCCTAGACTGGCCCTGCTGGTGAAAAGAACAAACAGAAATTGAAACACTCCCAGTATACTTCAGCCCTCCACATCCCACCCTCTTCCCACCATGGGACTGGAGCTCATCCTCTCCTCTTGCAGAATCAGCAAGAACTAGAACAGACTGAGACTGTGTTCGTATCCAGCCGAGGCCAGCCGTGGCAGAATTTGTCCCTTCACGATCAAAAGGACTGGGGTTTCACTAATTCCAAGGGTGGGCTGGGGGGCTGGATAAGTTCTGAGAAGTGTCTGATGTTGAAGATTAAAGAAATCTATCAACACTGGGAGAAGTGGAAAGAATGTGAGCATTAGGGAATGAAGGAGTATCAAATATCCTGAAGCCCACCCCGAAAGTACCTGGAACCCAGATCCCAATCTTTCCTTGAACCCTCTCAGAATGCTTCAGAAAAGAGGTTCTTAAGCCTCCCACAAGGCCCTGTTTAATTGCCTGCCTCACTCAATCAGCTTCTCCTGTACTCATCTCCTTGATGTTCTTTGAGCACACCTAGCACATTCCCCGGAGAAGGCAATGGCAACCCACTCCACTACTCTTGCCTGGAAGGGGCATGAGGGCTCTTGCCATGGAGGGGCCTGGTGGGCTGAAGTCCACGGGGTCACTAAGAGTCGGACACAACTGAGCAACTTCACTTTCACTTTCCATTTCCATGCATTGGAGAAGGAAATGGCAACCCACTCCAGTGTTCTTGCCTGGAGAATCCCAGGGACGGGGGAGCCTGGTGGGCTGCCGTCTGTGGGGTCGCACAGAGTCGGCACTACTGAAGCGACTTAGCAGCAGCAGCAGCAGCACATTCCCACCCCAGGGCCTTTGCACCTCCTCACTCTTCAGACAGAATGAAAACTCTCCCTCTAAATATTCAAATGGTTCACTCTCTCTCTTCATTTGGGTTTCTCAAGTAACAACTCAAAAATGCCTTCCCTGACTTTTCTATCTAGCATCCTCATCAGACTCCACTTGTTTTAATTTTTCTTCATAGTACATATCACAACCTGACAGTCTCCCCCAGTAGCATGTGAGCCCCCATAACATCAAGGACTTCGTTTAGTTCACTCAAGTATTCTTTGTACCTTGACTAGGACCTGGGTGCCCAATAAATATTTACTGAATAAATGAATAACTCAAGTCCAACCTATCTGTGATGGCTAATTTTATGTGTCAACTTGGATAGGCTATCGTGCCTAAATAGCTGCTCAAAATGTATTCAAGATGTTTCTGTGAGGGTGTTTTTGGATGAGGTTAACATTTAAATTGGTGGCCTTTGAGGAAAGCAGATTCTGCTCTATAATGTGGACAGTCCTCATCTAATCAACTGAAAGTCTGAACAAGAAGGCAAGTAAGCATATTACAGCAAATGGGCTTTGGCCTTCATCTGCAGCATCAGCTAGTCCTGGTTCTACAGCAGACTGCCCCCGAACTACAGCCACAACGTTTTCCTGAGTCTCCATCCCCCCCCGCGCCGCCCCCCGGAGCATCTCCCATCAGCTTTTGACTTGCCAAACCTCCACAGTTGTGAGAGCCAATTCCTTAATATAAATCTTTTTATGTACATATCTTCTCCCTGCCCCCCTCCCCAGAGAACCCTAATACAGTCTCTAAGTCAAACTGTGCTACTTTCTTTACTAAAGAATTCTCAATAGCTCTCTTCCCACTGGTTTCCATAACATGAATCAGGCCGCCAAAAGTTCTGCATGTTTTTGTCAGATCTGCCAGTAATACTGCTCCAGGTGACCTTCTTCCCCACAGCCAACTAAATGGGGACTGGAGAATGGGAGAGAGAATAATCGAACACGGTTTTTAAAGATTAGAGCCAATTATTTAGAAAAATTGACACTTAAGCCATCTGGAGACTTTTAATCAATCTCCCCTTCATAAGATGCTATTTCATTCATATTTCATGAACAGGAAGGTTGATCTACATCTTAATCTGTCTATATTCTGGAATGCTAAGAAACATAAAATATCAAACACACAAAGTATGTTTATATTCTGGGTTTGGGCAATTTCCACAGTATTTGTAGGACTAGACATACCATAATTATAAAGTCTATAGGATGTGGTGTGTTTTCACAAGATGTCTCAGGTCAATGCTCCCCACCATGCCCTTAAAAAAATAAGTTTAAAAAAAATTAAGAAAACAAGCAAAATTCCGTTCTTTTAAGTTACCACCTTAAAACCCTGCCAAGAGGAAGCCCCGCTTTGAAACATCCCCGCTGCGCCCGGGCTGCCTTTAAACGATATCGCTCCGCCCCTTTCCCAGCCCCCTCTACGCTTCCAACCGGCGGGAGGAGAGCGCCCTCCCAGCCAATCAACATTCAGCAGGGCCCTCCTCCGGCGCGTCTTTCAAAGGCCTCCTACGAGCCAATGGGCGGTTAGAGGCCGAGCCAGGGCGCCCGGGGGCGGAGTAAGAAACAGGAAGTGGGGGTCCGATTGGTTTCCAGCAGACGGCTCGCCCCACCTCACAGAGGATGTACCAATGAGCTGAGTAGAGGGGCTGGCTCGGCTCGGGGCGGAGGCTGAGATACCGGTGCTGCCTAAGGGAGGTGGTGGCCGATCAGGACGTGGGGTGGCCCGCAATGAAGCCGGTGAGTGGGGCCGGGGATTGGAGGAACGGAGCCGCAGGAATGGGAGCGGTCCTGAGGCCAGTTCTTGAGCCCGGGGACAGCCCGGGCCTGGCCGCCGCACAGCTCGCGTAGTCCAGGCTAGGGCAGGCCGCGCTATCCCGGGACCTGCGAGGATGGCAGCAAAGGAACAGGGTAGGTGGCTGGCCAGGGGAAAACGGACATTCGCTACCCGCCTGTTGAGGGCTGTGAGCTGTCGCATACAGGGTCTCCTGAGCCTCGCGACAGCCCTGTCAGAAAGGGCTGAGTCCCATTTTAAGAAGGAAACTGAGGCGTAGAGAGCCTGTGTCTACGTGCATCATTCAGCCCGATATCCCAGCTCCAAAGCACATCCCGGGCTGCCTGGGCCCCCTGAGAAGCAGTCCTCACCAATGACGGGGAAAACTTTTTGAAAGATGATTAACAAACCCCGCTTGTGCGTGTGTCACGACTGTCATCATGCCACTGGGCCACCAGGCACTGCTTCCCTTTCCCTGGAGTTCAGAATCTCTGGGCCCAAGGAAGCAGAAACGTCCAGCTCTGTTAGGATTTGTAAAGCTGGCTGGAAAAGCCTGAGTGAAAGGGCCACACAAATTGAAACTCAAATCACCAAAACTGCCTTAAACAGAAAGAAAGAAAAAGCAGGCTTAAGGACCAGAAACCTCACCTGACTCATATCACCTACCACCAGGGTTGACAACCCCCTGAAGGGTCTCCATTTGCGTTGACTTGACAAAAACAATACAGATAGATCCAAAGCAACTCAAATCCACAGCCTAAATTGGCTCTGTAATGTGATCGTGTAGTAACAAACAAGACCATTATAGAATATAGCGGCAGAGCTAGAAAAGACATTAGGCAGTTATACTTGCTAATCCCTGTGTTTCCACGTGGAGGGACATCAGCTGTCACTTGTCCCCAGGAGGGGGAGAGTGAGTGATCTGATTCCTGTGTTTGGGAGGAGCTGAACTCAAGGAACTCATTCTTTCCTTCCCTTCTTTTCGCAGATAGTACTCTCTAGGGTGCTGTCTGCCACAGGGCGGGGGAGGGGAGCTGAATTGTCCATCACTGCCTGTGCCTGAGTGGATAAGTCCAATTCTGAAGTGAAGAATTGACAAGCCCACTTGACCTGTTTTAAAGCCGCATCCTCCATCTGACCCTCTGTAATAAAACTGACATATTGATCTCCATGCCTCGCCAGTGTCTCATCTCTCAGTTGGCTCCAACTAGGAAGTAGAAGAAAGGTGTGTTTTTTATTGGTCTTATAACACAACACATTTTCCATATGGAAACTCTTCCCACATGATTGAGTTTTGGCTTCTTAGATTAGCACACAAAGTCCATCTCAATCTCTCTAGTTCAGTCATTCACAAAGTTAGGGGCAGGTTATTGCATCTATACTTCCCACCCTGCTCCCCAGTCAAACTACTAGGCTGTATGGGGGTTATCTTTAGAGAAATGAGAATGCTACTTCTTTAGCTTCCTCTCCTCTGCTCTGATGTCACAATTCCTGAATACAGCTGGCCCTTGGTATCCTCAGATGCAGAGGACCAACTGCACAGTTTTGTTTTTTGTAAGGGACTTGACCATCAGGGGATTTTGGTACCCATGGTGTGTGTATGGGTGGGGGCATTGCTCCTGGAACCAACGAGTCCCCACTCGGATGCTGAGGAACTATACTGTACACAAGCACATGTGGTTTTAGTTTTTTGTCTTAATTGCCTTAACTTCTCTATCTGCCTGAAAACCTCCTGCTCTCCATCAAAATCCAACTAATGGATCTCTCCTATGTGAAGCTTTCTCCAGCTCCCTAAACAGGCACTACCTTCTCTGCTCTGAAGGTCATAGTTTATGCTTCCATTTTAGCACTTCTAACTTTCTTGAATCTATGTGCACATTGTCTCTCCAACTATACTGAAGGCAGGCTATTTAGTTTATGGATCTTTGCATCTCCAGAGCTTGGCATATGAAAGTGTCCAAGAAGTGTTTGTGAAGGAATGAATAAATATCCTCACTTTATAGTTTCGGAAAACTGAGATTCAGTAGAAACTGACATCACTTGTCTGAGCTTATACAGTAAGTGGCAGAGTCAAGACCAGAAGACAGGCTTCTTGGTTCTCACTGCAACACTCTTTCCACTGCATAGTCCTGTAATTATTAATAGGATGGTAAACAGCAATAGTTTATTATTGATATTACTGATCTCTGATATTCCAGGTTGAATAAATTGCAAATAAGCCTCAGTGTGTGTTTAAGCAAGGATCAGTTTTGCTAAAACTATATGTAAATATTCTTTAGTTATTTAACATAATTGATTTCTTTTGAAGCCTAGTTCAATGCAAACAAGTGAGTTTGACTCATCAGATGAAGAGCCTATTGAAGATGAACAGACTCCAATTCAGATATCATGGTATGTTAACATTTCTGAGAGTTAATGAGCTAAAATATTTGAGGTATACATCAAAATCTTTGTATAATTTAGTCTATATATTGTAAATGATTCTCTTCTGATGATTATATAATTCTTATCTTTTTATATTTATGACAGCATAAGATTTTTTGGAAGGGGGAAGGTGGGAGTGGTGGGAGTTCCTTCCTTATTCATTGAGAAAACCATAATAGAAGTGAGTTAAGATTGAAATGACCTCCCATTTAGTACCAAAACCTTCTTATTCTTTCATGACAAAGGAATAGTGTGTGAAATATAGGATGAGATAGTCTATGTTATCCTTTATTTAAATCCTAGAACTACTTGCCACAGTAGTGCATCTACCAGCAGACCCTGTTTAAGATAAAAGTCATATTACCATAGATACAATAACAAAGCAAATGTTTTTATAGAAAATCAGCTTCTAAATCTTGACAGTGACTTACACCAGATTCTCTACAACCAGCAATCAAATGCTTCCTCTTATTCCTATAAATGTAATAATCTCTCTCTTTAATCATTCGCCTTGCTGTAGGAAAAGGGGAAAAGTGTTGGCCCTATAGTTATTTTATTCTGCCATCAAATAGCAATTATTTTTCATTTCCCTTTCTAAACCCCCTTTAGACTCAAAAACTTACCTAATTTTCAAAGTCAGGTAGTATTTATATGATGCCCCCTCTTTTCCTCTAAACTCATCTCTTTTGCAGACAAAGTGAGCCTCTGCCTCCTTTGTCCCTGAGTACTACAAACTGGGAATAGGATTTCTTGAAATTATTTCATTTTAACCAAAACCCATTACAACAAAGAATAGGTGGCCTGTGGTTTTTATTCTATGAAATTGTATCTGTTTAAGGAAGTCCTATACAGAAATCTGGAGATGAAATTGTCAAAATGCTCATTTTCAGCTTATTACCTAAGGTTACTAATACAAAATATCTCAGTAACATGCTGCAGGGTAACTTAAGTACACTTTATACTAGCTGTAGGTAATCTTGGCATTACTATCTTTAAGTTAGTTTAAATAAGTTTACCATTTTTAAGACTTAAATTCAGCAAAGCAAATGATAAGTCCCTATTTTAAAACTCCTAGTCTTTCCAAGCCTTTTTATGGCAAACACATTGATACTTAACTGTGAATTTTTGTTTTGTGACTGCTATAGAACTTTAAAACACCTTTGTTCAGGGCCCAGCACACATGTTTGTGTAAATGTCCATCTATGACTTTCAATTGAACTTGATAAAGTTTTCTTCCCTTCAGGCTACCCCTGTCACGAGTGAATTGTTCTCAGTTTCTTGGTTTATGTGCTCTTCCAGGTAGGTGACACTATTGATCTATTAGAAATAATTTTTGTGTCAGCTAGCTCATCATTCTCTGTAGTGAGGAGTAAGAGAATTTCACAGACTATCAGCATAGGAACTCAGTTCTGGAAACCCTGTTGGTGGGCTATTGATAAAGGAACATAGATCTATTCTTCAGCCCTCCAAATCCACATTCACAGGTCTACATTTCTGATTTACCTATCTTAAACTAACATGGGAGTATACAACGTGAGGCTAAGGACTACAGCCAGGTTCTTGTGACAGAAATCTGAATCCCTGGAATTATATTCCTAAGAATATAAGAAATTGAAATTCACATTCAAAATGGAATTGGTGCATATAAGTGATCAGGTGTAGCTATATACAGTAGCTATATATGTGTTTAAATATACTTGTTATTTATGATCAAAAACTGACTCTTTGACTTGCCTTGTCATTACTTACAGGTTGTAAATTTAAAGATGTTAGAAGAAATATCCAAAAAGATACAGGTATGAGAAAACCATCTTAACAGGTTTTTAAAAAATAATACTGTAAATCTCTTTGTCATAAAGAACAAACTGTAGTCTCTTCTGAATTTTCACAAAAATGTTCAGTACTTCATTAAGTCTCAAACTATAGACTTATTCTAATATATGAAGAGGTATATGTGAATAGCAAAGAGAACTCATCTCTATGTACTAAACATAGTGCTGTTTTCACTAATTGTTGTCGTTTTGTACATATAAACTGTTTTTGAGGTTAGAATGTATAAGTTGGAGAAAAGTAATGTAATAGAAAACTGAAATCACAATGCCCAAAACTTTGAATATACTGTTCTTTGCAGACTTGACTGTATTGGAAATTAAGCCTGAGGTGGGAACCCAGAGGCAGTATTGAAATTGTCTATCCCAGATAGAAAATTTATAGAACCAGGATATAGGTAGAAAAGATAGAATAGGATCTGATCTCCACATGCCCAAAGATATTCATAGCCTGAAATTTAATAGTCCTACAAATACACTGATAATCTACCCTGATTTGGCATTTGTATATTGCATAGTACTAACAAATTTAGATTTTCAAAACATTTTTTTCTGGTTGACCTGGAATATCTCAAGCTTACTTGTCCTACCAATGTCCTTATAATAAGCCAAAACAAAAATGTGTATATTGTTTGATTCTGATTACTATAGATTTTATAAATCTCAAAGTTCTTTCCTTGTTATCCTAGAATATCAATTTGCTAATATACTTTCTTTAATTTACCTCCCCAAAAAGACTTAAAAGACTAATAGATTAGTTGACCCTTGCAGTATTTGTAAAGATTTTCTGCTCTAGAGATATCCACCGTGGTAGGCAATTTCCATTTGGAGAACAATCATTTATCTCATGAGCAAAATAATATTTAAATCATTTGTTCAAGAAACAATCTTGCACACTTTGGAAAGCCCTATGCATTTAGTCTCTTCTGTGAAAGGAGTTTCCAGTTTTTTACCAAAAGTTTTTTTCTTCCAATGAAATCTTAAGTGGAATCCAACATACAAAACAGACAACAGTGTTTGAAGGGGGAAACTAGACTCTCCTAGCAGCCCTTCCTGTGTCCTTCCTCAGAGTCCTTTCTGGGAAAGTTGAAATCTATTAATCCAACCTAAATAATAGAAATTATTCAATGTGTACAGAAGGCAAATATGAAATTACCTACTCTCCTAAAAATGGTTAAGTATGTCAACTACATGCTAAACCCTTTTACAAGTACAAAAGCATAATTGTATTATCTAGAACAGCTGTCCTTAGAAACATCCTGGGAGCCACAAATAGAAGCCACATATGTACTTTGACATTTTCTAGGGGCCATGTTAAAAAAGTAAAAACAGGTAAAATTAACTCATTTCAGTGGGTTTTAAGTATAAAACAAATTATTAATGAGATAGTGGGTTTTTTGTACTATACTTGGTCTTTGAAATCATATATGTATTTTACATTTACAATACATCTCAATTTGGACTAGCCATAATTCAAGTACAGGTTTAGCATTTCATGATAAAAGTACTTTGTACTTAAATAGCTAAATGTCCTTGGATTTGGTGGGTGGGGAAAGAAAAAGAGGAATCAGATGAGCCAGAATTATTCATTATGAACCAAATGCTCTGTAGTGAATATTGCCATGAGGAAGCTCCAGTAAATAGAATGATGTGTAGTACTGTTGCTTGGTTCATATCATTACCCTGAAACTAACTAGGTCATATAATTTTCATACAACTAATGCTTTTATTTCCTTGAAACCCTAGTTCATAAAATTAAGTGCATAATTGTGTGGTACAGTGCAAATATAAGAGACAATACAGGAGCTCAGGCACCATGGCTATGCTGGAGATTTTATATAGAATGCTTAGGGTAAAACAAAATAGTCTTAAACATAGCAAACAAGGTTGATTTGGTGAGAAGAAAACGGACAATGTGCTATCATTCCTTCTTATTTTGAAATATTAGACGTTTTAACATTTAAAGCAGTATTTATTATAAAAATTATTTTTCAAAGCAGCAATATAATTGACATTTCAAAATCCAGTAAAAGGTATTTTGACTTATAAAGTCAGATCTCATTTTAATCATGTTTTGGTTCAGATGTTTCTAATTCCTATTTGTACTTACTTTTTACCCTAATTTGAAGACAGATCAGCATTGTTTTAGGTTATCAATAAGCACTTCAAAGTTAACAGGTTATCATTTGTTATTTACTTAATTTGTTCAGCTTTAGGGACTTAACTCCGTATTTTCCCTCCTGACTGTATTTAAATTTTTAATGTTTTGTCCATGTGTGTCCTTGTATATCTCGGTCTATTGGCAGAAGAACTAAAGAGCTATGGTATACAAGACATATTTGTTTTCTGCACCAGAGGGGAACTGTCAAAATATAGAGTTCCAAACCTTTTGGATCTCTACCATCAGTATGGAATTATCACTCATCACCATCCAATTCCAGATGGAGGGACTCCTGACATCACCAGCTGCTGTGAAATCATGGAGGAGCTTGAAATTTGCCTTAAAAATAACCGAAAAACCTTAATACAGTACGTTCTCCTTTTCTCCATATAATATGTGAGAAATGTCCCAGTCAAAGATGATTTCTCAAATTACTGAATCTGTATGCACTTATTACCTACCTTACATTACATTGCAGAGATTTAAAGGAGGTAACACATGAAAAGCCCTGCACAATGCCTGGCACAGAGCGAGCACTCAGATATTTGCCATGATGATTTTTGAAGAGTAAGGACAATGAATGAGTAGATTGGGAACTTTTAGAATAGGGTAACAGGCTTTTTTTTTTTTCTTTTCCTTTTGCCTTAGACCTTTACTCATAATTTGGGGATACTATCCTTCCCAAAAAGGTCAGGGTGTCATTCTTGTTATATAACAACACCTTAATTATCAGTCGACCTTTCAGTTACTTTCGTCCAACAGCAAGAAAGTCCATTTTTTAAAACATTAGCAGCAAAGGAATCATCCCTAACCCATGAGCAATCCTAAAAACAGGAGTTGAAAATCTTATTTGATGATATGAATTTGCTACCTGAAAGAAAAAGAAAAGAGACTCACATTTTTTGTCCGTGGCTGCACGTAAGCTACTGGTATCAAAGTTTAAAATAAAACAAAATGTATTAAGGGAGGAAAAAAGGGAGAGAAGAAAAAAGCTTGGAGAAAGGAAGAGAGTGACAATCAGCAGTAGACAGTAGCACTGCAAAGACTCGAAGTGGTATCATGGAAAGTAACGTAGTTATGCCAGAGGTGAGCCCCACAAAGCAGAGGGGAAGCAGCTACACAGAGAAAACTAGTCCTTCTTGTGATTGCTTTTTTTGGGGCGGGAGGGGTGGTATCTTAGTCTGTGTAATCCTTTCTGGAGCAACAAAGAACATTAAGTAGTGTGATACCTCAAAAGCTCTAAGGTCACTACCATGGACTAGAAAGTATACAAACTGTACCAAATAACATAGTCTCAGGGCGCCTATTAAAAGAGCAAGCCCAGCCAGCTTCTCTCGCCTTCGATCAAGAGTTCTGGGGCTTCACACCAATAGTTTATGTTTTTAAAAACAAACCAACCTAGTACAGAGGTCTTTGGAAACACACATCTGTTTATGACCAAACTAAACCCTGATGTAGAGAACTGTGAAGCAGGGAAGAAAGAACTAGAAGTCATTTTATATCCTACAGTTTCCAAACTTACTCTGTAGAAAAGCATCGTCTCTCATCTAGTTCTAATTGTAGAAACAAAATTTTAGAATAAATACAGTTATCTATGATAAATTTGCTGATACGTCTAAGTCAAATAGCATTAGATACATGGAGCTAGTGAAAAAATAATTTACAATTTTGGGACCCATTTTTCAAACAAATTCTGAGATTTTTTTTTTTTTCCAAATCTTTGAAAGCTTCTGCCAAAAGATTACTAGGAATCAAACTAGCTCAGTTTAGAGAAGCTTAACAAATTCTACTCTAGCAGGTTCCAGCAAACCAAACGCTCTGATGTTTGAACACAAACAGGATGGAAAGGTGAATGGGCAGTCTTGCTTATGTCGAATGCTTCGGGCTCCCATAAAATAAAGCATCTGATGACTGGAAATTTTCATTATCCTAGACTTTTCAAAGGTGTCCCTACAGTGACTAATGTTTGTGCGGACAAAGATTTTCTATTCATTCTCCCATCCTTGAGTGCCGACATTGCTAGACAGCTCTAGAGTTTATTCCTCAGAAACAGCATCTGGTAGATTTTTTTTTTCCAGTTCTATCTGTGCTGCCCGACTGGCTTTCCTGGGACTTTTTTGTTCCTTTTTAAAATCAGTGCCTATTGTATTATACCATTTCCTGGGACTGTTATAACAGAGTACCACACACTGGGTAGCTTAAAAAACAAATTTATTCCCGCCCAGGTCTAGAGGCTTGAAGTCCAAATTCAAGGTGCCAGCAGGGCTATGCTCCCTCCGAGACCCCGGGTAGATTCCTTCCTCTCTTGTTCCCGTCTCCTGGTGGTGGCCGGCAGTCCTTGGCATATTTTGGCTTGTAACTGCATCACTCCACTCCCTGCCTCTGTCATCACATCATCCTCCCTGGGTGTCTGTTTTCATGTGGCGTTTCCTCTTAGAAGGACATCACTCATACTGGACTGGGCTTCCTTGGTGACTCAGATAGTAAAGAATCCGCCTACAATACAGGACACCAGGTTCAATCACTGCGTCAGGAAGATCCCCTGAAGAAGGGAACAGCAACCCACTCCAGTATTCTTGCCTGGAGAATTCCATAGACAGAGAGCCTGCCAGGCTACAGACCATGGGGTCACAAAGAGTCAGACACAACTGAGCAACTAACAAAATTTTCAAGTAAGGTCACATTCATCGTACCAGGGATTAGGTACATATCTTTTCAGGGACATAATTCAACCCAGTGTATGAAGCATTGTATATGAAATATTATGAATACAAAGCACACACTCTGAGATGCAGTTCCCGCCCTCAAAGAAACCACAGCTAACGACGCCATCACACAAGTGTGAGAATACTCAAGCAGATGTACATGCGGCAGTACACAGGATGGCAGTGGTTTCTGTCGGGGAACAGGGACACTTCAGGAGTTGAAATTTGAGCTAGATTTTGAAGGATAAGTAGGATAAGTAGGAATCAACCAAACAGAGGAGGAAAGATAAAGGCAGCAAGAGATATAAGTGGTACGTTTTAATCTTACAGAAAGCCACTGAAATATTCTCTGTCTTTATAGAGTAGAGCCTCGTCTCTGAAACAGGCCTATAGCCAGGACACTGTACAGTTACCCAGGGGTCAGTACCTGTTTGATCCCCTGTCTCACATCCTGTCACAAGACACATATCTACAGCTCTGTCTACACATACACCACTGTAATTGATGCACTTGATGAGTTGTCAGCACCTAAATGGAATCAGAACACTCTCTTAGAAAAGTCAGGAAGTGTCTAATACACTTTTTTAGGATCTTTGAAACCGATTAAAGTGAATGTTTTCATTGCTTTAAGAATTGATCCTCCTTTTCCTAGAAAATCCAGTTATATAGAACTGCTCGTTTCTTCACAATGCTACATAATAGCAGCTAATGTTCATTTATTTCTTACTCTGTGCCAAGCTCTGTTGTAAGTTTTACAAATGTTACCCCATTCAATCCTCACTATGACATAGATACTGCTGCTGTCCCCATCTTATAGGTGAAAAGCCTGAAGCCTAGAGAGGTTAAATAACTTAGGCTGACACATCTAATAAGTGTCATGATTCTCGACCCTAGGCGGTGCGGCTCCAGAGCCCAAGCTCTAAACCTACAGGATACACTTACCTCTGTACTCTTATTACATGACTGAAGAGATATTTATGTGAACCTGTCTCACAGCTACTAAGGTTTTGTTTAGAGAAAAATAAAGAGTCAGTTGGTAAAACTAGTCTGATTTCTATCAACTTAGTAACATGTTACACTCCTCAGATGTTGAAAGTGAAGGTGGCTCACACTCTGCGCGACCCCAGGGACTGTAGTCCATGGAATTCTCCAGGCCAGAACACTGGACTGGATAGCCATTCCCTTATCCAGGTGATCTTCCCAACCCAGGGATCGAACCCAGGTCTTCCACATTGCAGGCAGATTCTTTACCAGCTGAACTACCAGATGTTGAAAGAGGTCAATAAAAAGCTTTTGCTTTCCTTGGCCTTTTGAGGTATACAGAATACCTCCCAGCAAATAAATAAGCATACTTTGCTCTTGAATGATTCATCCAAAGATACTTATTAATCTCCGTGGGTGCAAGGCACTGTGCTAGGCATTAGACTAGAAATAGAAGGCAGAAAGAACAAGTCTCTGGTTATAATTGTTGGGATGGAATAAAAATGTACAAACTTCAAAACTGTATTTCCCTTTCAGCTGTTATGGAGGACTTGGGAGATCTTGTCTTGGTAAGATATATTTCCATTATTCAGTTTTTGTTTTTTACCTCAAAGTAGGAAAACTCATTTTTCCGGGCCATATGCTCACTTTGTATGAAAATCAGACAAAACATATGTCTACTAAAACCCAAAGGATTATTTAAGGCCCTACATTTAGTGTTCCTTAGAAATCTTAGGTGAGGGTGGAGTGGGAGGTGTTTTCAGCATTGTTTTAGAGGATTCAGTAAAACAATTTTTATGTCTTAGCACCTGCCTTCTTGTGTTTTATTTTCTAATGTGTTCCCTATGCGGGTATTATGATACTAACTTCTAAATATCCATTGGTAACATAAGCATAAAAACCTTAGTTACATAGGTTAACTTTAAACTTTTCAAAAATATGTTGGGAAAAGCAGCTAATGAAATAACACAGTGGGAGTAACAGTTATTCCTTTTAGTGTTGGACAGTATCAAAATTACACACTTTTGTGTAAAGATACTATCAGGATGAAAAGACAACCCACAGAATGGGAAAAAATATTTGCAAACCATGTATCTGATAAGGGACTTACCTAGACTACATAAAGAACTCTTACAACTCAATAAAAAGACAGACAACCCAGTTAAAAACTGGGCAAAGGATATGAGCAGACACTTATCCAAACAAAATACACAAATCACTAACAAGCACACGGAAAAATGCTCAACATCTTAGTCATCGGAGAAATGCAAATCAAAACCACAATGAGATACCACCTAACACCCATTAGGATGGCTATTACCCAAAAAATGGAAAGCAAGAGTTGGCAAGGGTGTGGAGAAACTGGAAACTTAACACTCTGCTGCCTGGAATGGAAAATGGTGCAGCTGCCTTGGAAAATAGCCAGGCAGTACTTCCTCCTACTTACCCATTGAGTTACCATACAACCCAGCAATTTCACTCCTAGGTATATATCCAAAAGAAATGAAAACACGTTCATACAAAACTTATGAACATTTACAGCCATATTATTTATAACAGCCAAAAAATGGAAAAGCCTAAATGTCCACATCAACTGACAAATGGATAAACAAAATGTATAGCCATACAGTAGAATATTATTCAGCTATAAAAAAGAATGAAGTACATGCCACCATATGTAAATATCTTGAACACATAATGCTAACTGAAAGAAGTCAGTCACAAAAGACAACATATGATTCCATTTATTTGAAATGTCTAGGCAAATCCATAAAGACAGAAAGTAGATTAAATGTTGCTTAGGGGAGGGGTGACAGGATGATGAGTGATAGGGGGATGATAACAAAAGAGTACAGGGTTTCTTCCTGAGATAATGAAAATATTCTAAAACTGGCGATGGCTGCACTAAAATCCACTAACTTGTACACTTTCAATGAATGCATTGTGGGATATGAATTTTAATCACTCAATAAAGCAGTTTTAATAAAAAAGAATGAAGCCAGTGTTAAATTTTAATTCAACTGCAGTCATTTAAAGTCATAATTTAACTGTCAAAAACACACACTAAAAAGTCTTTTAATTCATTTCAAACAATTATAGAAAACTCAGTCTTCTGCACAAGAGAAGTCTAAACTAAATATGAACTGTTGTACCCCATCATCAATTTATAATATATAATATATGCTTTCTCTCTCATGTTCTATTAGTAGCGGCTTGTCTCCTCCTATACCTGTCTGACACAGTGTCACCGCAGCAAGCCATCGACAGCCTGAGGGACCTGAGAGGATCTGGGGCAATACAGACCATAAAGGTAAGAAGGGAGACTGTTCTCATGAGGCTGTGGTTAGGGACGGACTGTCACAGTGCAACACGTCCTCAAAGGGGCCATGAAAATCCAAAGCATCCTGTTATCCATGTCTCACCTGTTTATATTTTGACTTTTTAAATTTACATTTAAGTAAGTTCTGCTTTTCCAAACAAAATAATCAAAAATTATGAACTTTCCAGTTTATTCTTCCAGGATCCATTCCTTTTCAGTTTTTGCCCATTCAGTTCTGGGAATGAATTCTGTCACCTGGAAAAATGAGGCAATTTTTACTATAAAACTGGTAGTTTCTTGGGTAGACTTTTGACCTAGAAGTAGCTCATGAAGATCCTCTTATGGTATCATTAAACATTTAACAAACACAGATGAGTGATTCTAATAGAAAAAAAAATGTAAAGTCATTCTAGTTATCCTTTGCTATTCTAGTTAACCAAAGTGACATCTTTCCATTTACTTTCTCTTTAAAACCAAAAACACTGGGTAGCAGTGCCCAAGGATATTACTGATCTGTAGATCTGTAATGCCAACAGAAAAATACCCCCAACTGCAGAGTTCCAGAAAATGCAAGGAGAGATAAGAAAGCCTTCTTAAGTGACCAATGAAAAGAAATGGCGGAAAACAACAGAATGGGAAGACCAGAGATCTCTCTGAGAAAAATTGGAGTTACCAAGGGAACATTTCATTCAAAATGGACACAATAAAGGACAGAAACGGTATGGACCTAATAGAAGCAGAAGATATTAACAAGAAGTGGCAAGAATACACAGAAGAACTATACAAAAAAGATATTTAAAAAATAATAAATAAAAAAGGTATTAATGACCCAGATAACCACGATGGTGTGCTCACCTAGAGCCAGACATCCTGGAGTATGAAGTCAAGTGGATCTTAGGAAGCATTACTACAAACAAAACTAGTGGAGGTAACAGAATCCCAGCTGAGCTTTAAAAGATATGCTGTTAAACTACTGCTGCATTCATTAGGCCAGCAAATTTGGAAAACTCAGCAGTGGCCACAGAACTGGAAAAGGTCAGTTTTCATTTTAATCCCAAAGAAAAGCAATGCCAAAGAATGTTCAAATTACCATACAATTGCACTCATCTCACATGCCAGCAAGATTTTGCTCAAAACCCTTCAAGCTAGGTTTCAGCAGTATGTGAACCGAGAACCTCCAGATGTAAAAGCTGGATTTAGAAAAGGCAGAGGAACCAGAGATCAAATCTCCAACATACACTGGATCATAGAAAAAGCAAGGGAATTCAAAAAAAACATCTACTTCTGCTGACTATACTAAAGCCTTTGACTATGGATCACAACAAGCTGTGGCAAATTCTTAAAGAGATGGGAATATCAGGCCACCTTACCTTCCTCCTGAGAAACCTGTATGCTGAAAAGAAGCAAGTTAGAACTGGACATGGAAAAACAGATTGGTTCCAAATTGGGAAAGGAGTACATCAAGGCTGTATATTGTCACCCTGCTTATTTAACTTATATGCAGAGTACATCATGCAAAATGCTGGGCTAGATGAATCACAAACTGGAATCAAGATTGCCAGGAGAAATATCAGCAACCTCAGATACACAGGTTATACCACTTGAATGGCAGAAAGTGAAGAGAAACTAAAGAGCCTCTTGATGACGGTGTAAGAGAGCCTATCTCTTCTTGGCAAGTAGATGGGAAAAATGTGGAAACAGTGTCAGATTTCATTTTCTTGGGCTCCAAAATCAATGGAGACGGTGACTGCAGTCACGAAATTAAAAGATGCTTCCTCTTTGGAAGAATAGCTATGTCAAACCTAGACACAGCTTTTTAAAACTTTGGAAAACTCAGCAGTGACAGAGTTTTAAAAAGCAGAGACATCACTTTGTGACAAAGGTCTGTATAGTCAAAGCTATGGTTTTTCCAATAGTCAGGAATGGATGTGAGAATTGGACCATAAAGAAGACTGAATGCCAAAGAATTAACGTTTTCAAACTGTGGTGCTAGAGAAGACTCTTGAGAGTCCCTTGGACCAGTCAATCCTAAATCAACCCTGAATATTCACTGGAAGGGGTGATGCTGAAGCTGAAGCTCCAATACTTGAGCCACCTGATATGAAAAGCTGACTCACTGGAAAAGACTCTGATGCTGGGAAAAATTGAGGGCAAGAGAAGCGGGTTACAGAGGATTAGATGGTTGGATGCCATCACTGATTCATGGACATGAGTTTGAGGAAACTCAGGGAGATAGTTATGGACAGAGAAGCATGGCATGCAGCAGTTCATGGGGTTGCAAAGAGTTGGACACGACTTAGCGACAGAACAACAATGCTAACTTGCCTTCCCTTCCCAGTTCCCTGGTCTCAGCTTTAGGACTAAGTCAGAGGAGTAGGTTTTGAAAACAGAAGCTCCCTCTTGTTACCTGTTAAAATCAAATGATGCTTCAAATTTAAGATGTTCCCAAGTGTCTCTTTGACAAGAACAAATTACATGGACAAACATATGTATATGTGTGTGTATGTGTGTTTTGCATCTTTAACCTTAAGCCCACATTAATACGAGCTGTCAATTTATCACCTCAGCATTCTGGGGCAAACATGTTTTTTCCATCTCTATGCTGATATAAGTTAAGTTAGCAGTATGCAAGCCCAACTTGTCAATAGTAATACAAAATGAGATTTGGGGCAGGGTAAGAATATCCTCTGGACAGCTGTTAAAGTGCCAAATGAATGAATTAATCTATTTTGCTTATCTGTTAAGATTAGTGATTTTATTTCAGTATTTCCTGTTATGGAAATTGTTCCAAAATGATTTTATCATCACAAAAAGCAGACAACGAAGGCTTCTGTAAACCAAGAAATAGATTTTTCTTGAATATACTGTTAGTTGCTGCAGACAGTGCCGTTCCCTGTGGACTTACTCCCCAGGAGAAAATGCATTAGAAATAGAATACCAGGCCTGGTTTCCATGCCTGGGTTGGGACAATCCCCTGGAGAAGGGAACAGCTACCCACTCCAGTATTCTGGCCTAAAGAATTCCACGAGGTAGCAGAGTCAGACACGACTGATCGACTTTCACTTTCACTTCATGTGTTATTTTTAATCTTATTTGCTCCTGCCAGTAAAGGGAGAAACGATTTTACAGACATAAAATGTTCATCTGTATTTCATAATACCTGCTAATTTATAGAGATTTTTAAAGCAAGTTTTTCACACTATATATAGTTTTTGTTGTTGTTAAGTCACTAAGTCGTGCCCAACTCTTTGCAACCCCATGGACTGTAGCCCTCCAGGCTGCTCTGGCCATGGGATATCCCAGGCAAGAATACTGGAGTGGGCTGCCATGCCCTCCTCCAGGGGATCTTCCTGACCTAGAGATCGACCTCGGGTCTCCTGCATTGTAGGTGGATTCTTTACCACTGAGCCACGAGGGGAGCCCTGTATGTGGCTTCACTGAAAGATAAAACTTCCCCAAGATGTAAATACCTCCTTACCCAAAAGGATGTAGAATCGTTTTTACCAAGCATTATTTTGATTTCTGATTCCAACTAGTATCATTACTACTCTGGCAATTAGCTTTCTACAATGTATTTCAGTGTATCTTTACTTTTTTCAGCAATATAATTACCTTCATGAGTTCCGGGACAAACTAGCTGCACACCTTTCATCAAGAGATTCACTATCAAGATCTGTATCTAGATAAAAGAATTTCAAATAGCATATATATATGACCATGTCTGAAATCTGAGTTCTCTAATAGTATTTGTATTGAAACTACTAGTGTTATCAAACTGAATGTAATGAATGTAAGTGTACGTGTGCAGATATTCCTAAAGCTTTTAATGACAAATTTCATTGTGTCTCTTTCATATCTTATAGGAGATAGAAAAACTGCTAATACTATTTTCCTTTTAAAAATACACCAGCTGTTCTGCTGTATTTTACCTAGAGGTAATGCTGAAAAAGAGCATATGGGAAAATATGTTTTTATTTTTTTTCCACATTCTTACCTCATAGTATTATTGGTAACTGCTGGGTGGCATATGATATAGTAACACGTATGAAAATTGCTACAAGCACCCAGGCTAAAATTATTTAAATAACTCTTACCCTCTATTCCTCTGAAAATCTCTCCCATTGTTTTCTCTACTTCATAGATATAATGAATTGTGAATTTGTCACCTCCCTCCCAATGCCAGATCATCCCCAACATGTGTTTATTCAGCATTTGCTGGAATTTTCCGAGATAAGGAATTCATTGGTTCAGACAGCTATTTTTTACAGCATTGTTTTTTTAACCCTAGGAACTACAGTGGAATGAATTTAATACCTCTTTCACATTTATTTTATAAAGCACTTACCTAAAGTTTAAGTCTCCAGTTTTCTCACTCCTTCACTTCACTCTCTGTTACCTGTGTCTCTGTCTTTAAATTTCACGCTGAGCTACCAAAAGCAAGCATTTGCAGACAAGGATCATACTGTGAGTCAAAGTTACCTGTTTTAAGAGACGTCAGCAGGTTCAGTACTGGAGAATCCCACGGCTCTCTTGGCTACTGGTAGTCCCGAAGGTGACCAGCGGAGGAGGAACTTCCACACAAGCAAAGCAGATTTCACCACATCAACCCTTAATTTGTAAATAGTCGTGTAATTACCGAAAGTCTTAATGTCTCTCACCCTTCTTGCCCTGATGAGCTACTTTAATTTCATTAAAGAATACTTTAAAACATTTACTAGCACTGTTTGGGAACTTCACACCAGAGACTCAGAATGTACCATAATATAAAAATCAGTGTTTTAATACTTTAGAACTTAAGGTTTTCCCTCTAAGACTCTTAAGGAAGACAGGAGAATCACATATCCTTAAGGATTTCTGACCAAAGACAATAAATGCCAAAAGTTATAACAAGGAAGTTATTTTTTTTAAGTACAGGCTGCAGTAATAGATTGACCTTTCTCATAATTTTGTTGTTATAACCAAGTACAATTTAAAATCACTCCATTAAGCTTTGACAGTCACTGAAATTGACATTACCAAATCTTATTATCAGCTTTCTCCCAATACATAGCTTACTCATGAATATCTAAGAATAGCAGAAAAAATATTAGCATGGACTAATCAAATCCTTTAATCAACTGAATTTTCAAAGTACATGCATCTCAATTTCCACTGCCAAGTGCTAGTTAAGCCTTCCACAATGAAATGCTTGATTATTTTACTAAGTATAAGGAAAAACATCAATTATTCCATAACAAACATGGATGTCACTACTCAAATATAATTATCCAATAAAATTTAATAACATGTAATTCCAACATTCTTGGAAAAGAATTTTCTCTGGTTAATCTACAGGACAGCCCTCAAAACAATGAGGGAAGGGAGGCAGAGAGACCTGCTGGAATCCTGGTCATACACAAGTCAGTTAGTTGCTAAAATAGAATCAACACACAAAACTCAACCATTATCCACAAACTACACAAGGAAACATTTGAGACAGTTTTTATTAAATATACAAAAGCAAAATAAAGCAAGCAAGCTCAAAGAAGGCAGGACAACATAAGGACATTGTCTTTGGATGGTGTACAGCACCATTAAGGTTAACTTAGATTTTAACAAACCATGAACACAGATAGCTAACTACATTCTGTGTTTCCCTTAGTAGTTTTATGATCTACCTAGTCATCAATTTATTATTTAAGAAATTTTTCTTCTCCATAATGCAAGAACATTGTAAACAAACGTAAATTTAGGAAAAGCACTGTATGATAAGTTAACTTATTCATTCTTTTCTATGTCAAGATGTTCTCTACATCTTCCACAATATACATTAATAAAACTAATGTAGGGTAAAACCTTCACTCCGATCCCACAGATCACCTTAATGGTTAATACTGTTTTTCCAAAACCAAGCAGAACAAGCAGCAGAGTTGTTTACTCTTTTTAAAACATTTAGCTTTAAAACCATTAATTTTAATTAAAGCAAAACTGTTCCAAGAAAGCTATTCAACATATCCCGAAAGAGAACCTCATTTTCTCTCTTGGCATCATCCTACAGCATTAGTTCAGAACTATCTGCTGAGCTGTAATACTAGTGCCAGAGACTAAGTAGCTAGTTACTAATTAGCTAACAGATCAATGCCTGGTTTGAGCAAAAGAGCTTAAATTATGAGATTAACATTAATAGTTTCCTAAAACAATGACTATGAAGTTTCATAGTTGCATGAACAATGCTAGACAAGGTATTAGTATTTCTATCTTTCCCCTTTGAGAACTGTTGTTTCAAATATTCTGGCTGTCAAAACTTCTGATTTACAATTATACAAGTGATGATCAACAAATGCACATTTGTGAGTGGTGAAAGTGAAAGTTAGTTGCACAGTTGTGTCCGACTCTTTGTGATCCCATGGACTGTAGCCCACCAGGCTCCTCTGTCCTTAAGAGTACTGGAGTGGGTTGCCATTTCCTTCTCCAGGGGATCTTCCTGACCCTGGGATCAAATCCGGGTCTCCTGCATTGCAGGCAGATTCTTTACCAACTGAACTTTAAGTAAGTAAATTAGATATGTACTTTTATATAGAGATCGTTTTAATGGACTTGATATTATCACACTGCTGTGTGACATAGCCACACCCAAAATGAAAGCTGGCCCTCCTGCAGATTATAAGAAAAAAATCCACAAGTCATTCTTTGTACTATGGCAGTAATATTCCATAAACTCTGTAAATATATATTGGAGGAAAAGAGAAGTGTTGTAGCAAGGAAAATAATTTGCTAGTTTCAAACTATATCTACATCTCAACTTCCTTTCTATGCAATTATCTTACATATTTTCAAAATATGTTATCTGCAGAGAGCTCTATGAACACTATTAGCGTAAGTGGTCCTCGAGCGAAAAATACTGAAGAGGCTTTAAAAGACACATACTGCAAACTGTTATGCATTCTGTTGCTCTGTGTGAGACTATTACCTGGGTATCTGAACTTGACTATAGGTCTGACCATTCATGGTATGAGGCATCTCAAATGCTTCAGTACTATCTGATACACGTCAAAAGTGGATTATCTGGTCATTTCCTGTCACTACCCTCTTCCCATGAAAAGTAATTCAAACTTCAAACAAATTAGTAGTTTATGTGCAGCCTGTTACCCAACTCTCCTCTACTCTGGGATGGGGAGTGGGAAGTATCAGTTAAATATTGTGAAAATTATCAAATAATAAAATTCAGATTCAGGCATTAGAGAATCTACCCCTATACCTCCTTAGCACTAACAGGACATATTGCCATGACACAGTATTATTACTCAATAGAATAACTGCTAAATAGACTACATTTGTTACATAATATTTTTAATGCAGGGCAATCTATAGTACCAATAGCAAGCTGCTGATATAAATAAAAACCACAGTAAGTTACAGGAATGATTTCAGAGAATTAGAAAGCTCTTAAAACACAACACCAAAAGTAATTGTAACAAAGGAAAAAACAATTCCTAAATAAACAGCTGTGGCTGCACAGGGTACAGCCTTGACTAAAGCTGGAAAGGATTATGAACCCAGACTATGTTTCAGCTGGACATGCAGGAATAATAGCAATATGGCTAGGACCACCCAAACCAGATTAACAGGGGAACAAATTAAATTTAGAGCAAAGAAAAGAACCACTGGCATACTGTCAACTGCAAATAGTTTCTGCTTTTTCTTGGTAAATGAGTTAATTTCTTAAAACATTGGTGAAGGTAAAGAGCAGATATTATGAGAGCATCCAGTTACCCAATATTCTAATTATCTACATGCCAAGGACCTAACAACCTACCACAGACTGTCAATCATCCTTGACGTATTAGCTAAGGACTACATATCTAACTTCTGAAACATGTGAAGGTGGCTTCCACAAATTGCAACCAATAAACCTGGCATTAATCCTGGAGAATACTGTGAAATAATTATTAAAAGGATGTTTGTTAAAATTCACAAAGGAATGTGGTGGTTGCTGAGAGAGAGGAAGGGCTCATGAAAATACTTTGATGGGAATACAAAAGTAACTGCCCCAGAAAACTCATCTGAAGTACAGAAGACTTAGCCAAGTCTCTCATGATAAAAAGTTCTTGTGAACAAGAAAGAAAAATGAGTGCATGCTGGTACAACCGGGTGGATTAGAAGCTGAATGGTTGCTTATACTCAGATCACAAGTCTACAGTGCCTAACTAGGGCTCAATTAACAATTTACTGCATGAACGAATGAACAGTCAGATCCCCTGAGGTGTGCTCCAGACTACAAAATGCAATGTCTTTAAGCGTCTCTCATTATGAAATGGTTTGACTCTCCTCACTCTCTGGTTCTATATCCTTTTCTTCAATGTATTTACCCCTATTACCCAATCTCAAAATAGTAACCTTCTCCCGAAGGTGGGGAAGCATTTCTTCACTAGCAGAGCATAAAACAGCATCTAATTCAAGGGCTACTTAGAATAAGACTTGCACAAACACATCCATAAATCCCCTTGGTCATTACGTGGAATTTCTACATATGATTTTCTCCCTTGATCCTTTAAGAAACTTTGAACCACTTACACTATTTTCAATTGCCTTAACTTACTCCTCTCAAATAAACCACAAGAATGCTTAGGAAAACATGCAAGCCATAAATCACCTGCCTTTCAAGCAGCAGCAAAAAAAACCCAAACACAAATGTATAACTCATTTCACCTTAAAACCCTGCTGTTTCAAAAAGGAAAAAAATACTTTAAACCTTTTAAGTTTCACAATAATTTTAATTAGTAAGAAAAATGATGATGCTATGCCATCAGTGTTTATGAATCTTGTCAAGTGACAATAGATGGTAATGTACTTAACCATTTAAAAATTGTCCTTTTTAGATCCAAGCATGGTATTAAAAAACAAAAAAGTAATACTCTACTATCTTCTTAAAAAACTGACAGTGATATGTCTTTTATTTGGAATAAGCAAGTTTAAGAAATAGCTATTTATAATCTTTAAAACAATGCACTGAAAATAAGTCTTAATTTCAGAGTTTTATTGTATTGCACTAAAGGAACAGCAGGATGGTTATACAATGTTCTCTCTCATTCGGTTTTGAAAATCTAAAGTACTTGCAAATTCTTAAGAATACCTTTACCACCAGATTAAAACATTTACTAACCAATTTCTTAATAAGTAAAGTCTCACAAATTAAAACACATTTAAAATAGCTTTAAATGCATTCTTCATGAGTAAGTCAGCATATATTTTTGTATCATGTTCACTTATGCTTAAGAATTAGAGCAAGTATATTATTCTGGTGGAAATATGGGGAAATCTCTCATTCATGCAATATACAGGGGTAGTATTTCAAGTCCAAGGGGAAAAATTCCCACTCTTGTTTTTTTAATGCATCCATATATAATCACCTACATGATAGATAAGGAAACCCATGAAGTTTCCCACAGATCAGATACATATTTTCAGTTCATCAGAAGCACCTGATATCTAAAACTAATTTATAATTAAATGGTATTTCAATAAAACCAAAATGAGCCCTACCAGTTCCTATAAAGGAAAGCTTCCAACGACTAAGGACGGTCAGTAATCAACGCAGCCATTCAAGGGGTCACGGCTGTTCCTCAAGGAGTGCAAGTTCAAACCTGTCGACACCAGAGGTATCATTTTATATTAACTTATACGTGATTCTGTTTACATTCTTTATCCGAGTATAACATATGAAAACAGTCTTTCCACAAGCAAAAAATGTGGAAACATTTAAAAAATAAGGAGTCATTTTTAAAGTAACTGATCAGATTCCATAGGCTACTCTTGGAAACAGGATCTTGCTGGATAGAATCCCTTCGTTGGTGGCTTTTTGCATGCACTTAACTGGACCAATTCTTCTAAGCGTTGTCCTAAGAGCTCACCAAAACATAGATCATGCTGAAAAGAAGAAAAAGGCTACTGTTAATTCAAACATTTCTAACTATAAAAACTAACAGTACCAAAAAGTTGAATCTGCTTTATATAGTAAACTAGTTTGTGGTATCACAACATCACAGAAAATGGTAAGACCAATGACAAGTTCACATTACGATTTTAATCTGCGTTTATGGACTTTTGCCTAAGGTACGACTGGCTCAGTACATGGGCTGAGTTGTCCCCTATTTCCTTTCCAATTTTAGCAAGTAGAACAGCACAGCTGAAAGCTTAATGGGGGATCAGAGCTTAGAAAAGCAATCCAAAACAGCACACTGCTCCAGAGCTGTATCTAAGAATAGGAGTGAGCACCTCCAAGGGCTCACTTCATGCCAGGCCTTCTGCCAGGTCCTAGGAGGTAGGGTACATACCATTATCATCCCCATTTTACAGACAGGAATGATCAAGGAACTTTCCCATTAGAGAAAAGCTCTAGGCAACAGCAGCAAGTTTAAAAAGAAAAGGAGACCAAAAAGCAAAATAAAAAGCAATAACCATTGAATCCTACATGCAGGGCAAAGTGAGAGAGCATGGTTCAAGAGCATGTGTGTCTAAATGGAAATACAAAGCAAGGAGGTGAGCAAAGCTTGATAGACAATTTAAAATAAATGAATGGGACTTGCCTGGTGGTGCAGTGGATAGGAATCCGCCTGCCAGTGTAGAGGACAAAGCTTTGATCCCTAGTCCGGAAAGATTCCACATGCCACAGAGCAACTAAGCCCATATGCCACCGACTACTGAAACCATGCTCTAGAGCCCATGAGCCACAACTACTGAAGCCTGCACGCCGCAGCAAAGAGCAGGCCCTGCTTGCCAGAACCAGAGAAGGCCCCCACAGAGCAACCAGAACCTAGCGCAGCCAAAGATAATAAAATTTAAAAAACAAATAAAATGAACAACATAGTGACACCATCTCCTGGTGAACATTTTCCCACAACTCTAATGAATAATTCATTTGCCTTCTTTCAACAAGTATGTTTTAAGTGTCTGCTAAATGCCAGCGCTGTTTCAGACACTTATTATAGAAACTAAAATATGAAAATTAACAGAAATTAAAAGGACACATGGAATTTCACTTTTCAGAACCTCTTCACTCTGTTTCATGTATGAACATCTGCAGACAATCATTTTTCACAAATATAACCTCTAAAGGCCTAAAAGTTCATTTTCCATAAATTTTAGTCTAGCACTTCACCCTCTTCCATAATGGAAAGTAATATGAACAAGAAATATGACTACATGCCTACCATTTTAATACTAAGCAAGTCTTCAAGTAACAAAAAGGAGAGGGAAGAGAACCTTAATTACTGCAATAATTTCATCTAATACAATTTTCCTCATATCCTGAAAATCGGGTGGAAATTTCTAAGTTGAATACATATCAATAAAATACGAGAGAGATGTATTTATATAAAGAAAAATTATAACTGTATTCTAGCCCTAGTTTTATTCTAGTTTTAATAAGCAGCTGTTTTCCTCCACCTACAGGACACCTAGAATACTGGCTCTCAACCAGGGCAATTTCACCCCACAGGGAGCATCTGGGAGCGTCTAGAGACATTACTGGTTATTATCACTGGGGCAGGGGGTGCTACAGGCATCTAGGATAAAGGCCAGAAATGCTGCCGAACATTAATGCACAGGACAGCTTCTCACAGCAAATTCTGTCTTGCCCAGAATATCAACAGTGCCAAGGTCAAGAAACCCTGATCGAGAGGAATGATATGAGTCCATCTCAGTATAAAAGGATGAAAATCAGTAACTGCACCATCCTGTATGACAGAACTTTTCTTTCCTTCATGCCATACAGAGCATGCAAACCAGAAAATAAAGGGTAGAACATATAGTTAAACGAGAATGATTTTTTTAAAAATTAAACATAATCTTGAGACAGACACTGAGGCAAGCAAAACCTTTTGCAAATGGACACAACCACATGCTCTTGCTCTGCCATGGAAAATTAGGACTATCCTTCACTGGCTGTCTGAGACTCTGGAAGCAGCATCCCCACCCGTTTTCTGCCTCTGACTGCACACCAGCTGGCTGCCTTAACAAGTACCAGTTTAGTCAATGTGCGTGAATTTGTCAGTGTGCACTGCGCCATCACCAGTACCACCATTCAGGACGTGAGTTACTCTTCAAGTGGGTTTTAAGGTGTTCAGACCGAACGCCTGCAAATGGTTCAGGCAGCAAAGTAAAATGGTATTTTCATTTTTTAAACTTACCCATATAGGTAGTAAAAAAATGCTAGAAGATAAAAAGCTAATTTGCACCATCCTTCTTTCTGACAATATGCTAGAATATCTGCATTCATGATGGTTGTAGGATCATAGAGTCCTGGTCCACTCATCACTGGTCTACTCATATACCTGTAATAAGCACAATTGATTAGCCACTCAGAATGGAAGCTAAACTTCAAGATGGACAGCAGCATTCTTCTCAAAATAATATTGGTTACAATGAGAAGTGGCCCACATAGAGAAGCGTACTTTTAGTTCTAGGTGGAGTTCTTTCCTTTTATCATCTTAATTTTAAAACTAGAGCCCCTAAAGGGGAAAACAGAGCAGTTAAAACAAGGCCCATCTGGTCTCCTCTACACTTTCAGAAATCCAAGAGAATTACAAATAACTGTAAAAAAAGGAAAGACGATTTTTTTTCCTTTCAACTTTCTACTTTAACATAAAGAAGCCTTTACCAAGATGTTCCAAATGTTCACATTAACCATGAGGCTTTGTCCTTCTCTCTCCCTTCTCTAAATACATGAACACTTTTTCCTGAGCCATATCAGAGCCCATTACAGATATGAAACCACTTTACTTCTAAGTATTTCTTACATGTGTACTTCCTAAAGTCAAGGGCAACGAGACTTGGCCTATCTGAAACAAAACATGTAGAAGTTATGAAATATGACTCTTTTATAAATAACCAAATTTAGAGTCATAAAGTAAACAAGGAGAAAGAAGGACACACACTGTACAATCTGATTTACATGAAGTTCAGAAATGGACAAAACTAATCTAAGTGACAAAAGATCACTGGTTCTCCTGAGGAAGTTAGAGGGTAGCTGGGAAGGGTCACGAGGGACTCTTCTGGGGGCTGGAACTAACGTCTATCTTGATCTGGGTGGTGGTTTCACAAGTGTACACAGACATAAAAATCCACACTTCAGACTGTGCACACATTACTGTATGTGAGATACAGCTTACTATTTAAAACCCCTTTAACAAATAGTAACATAAGCTCCATAAGAGGTATTAAAGCAGTTATTTGTTCATCCATGTGGTGTAAAAAATAAATGCCAACTACTTTCATTTAAGGGGCTTCCCCGGTAGCTCAGTCGGTAAAGAAACTGCCTGCAGTACAGGAGAACCAGGTTTGATCCCTGGGTCAGGAAGATCCCCTGGAGCAGGAAATGGCAACCCACTCCAGGATTCTTGCCTGGAGAATCCCATGGACAGAGGAGCCTGGTGGGCTACAGTCCATGGGGTCGCAAGAGCCGGACACGACTGAGTGACTAAACCACCACCACTTTCATTTAGGTGACTAGTATGTTAAGATAATCGTAACAACCATAGTATAATTAAAATTTAATTAGGAGAAGTATTAGAAGTGTATCTCAGTATTACCTCCAAATGTGATATGCCAAGAGGGGCATATTGAGACCCAGCGTAAGCCACTCTGCCGCACAAAGAAACATGACGCAGAAGAACGCGTGGATGAGGTACTCCGGGAGGACAAGCTGCAGGGAGAACACACCAGTCACCGGTGATCAAGCACCTCGGCATTAAGTCAACTGCTAATCTGCAGAGCAGGTGGCAACTAAGTTTCCATAGTGAAAAATCACTTGTTTTCTTACAATCAGAAATGAAAAATGCTACTGAGTTTTATTTTCATATTTAACTTCTGACCAAAAGCAGGATTATATGCAAACTGACCAGAGGTTATAGCTTGCACTAAAACAATAATATGTGACTCAAAATTTAAAACCCAAATTCTTACAACAACAGGTTAAATTATACAAAGTTACCACCCAGATTGTTCAAACACAGCTATTTGCTAATCACTTAGAATAACTTAGAATATTTTTTCTTTCCACTATTTAAAAATGATAAAAATATAAAAATGAAGTATCTGATCACATGCAACATGATATAAAAAAATTCACAAGAACAAAGCTCCCTTTAGAAGTTTACACATTAGTGTTTTTAAGCCTTTAACAGAAACCAGGGTGCTACAAATACAATATTTAGCAAAACACACATTACCACAAAAGTAATTTTTCAATGGAAAGCCAACAGCCAATAATCTCAGCACAGTCGGAGTGGAAGAACACTAAAATGCACAGATGCAAACAATGTGCTTTCTGCAATGTAGGAGGGAAAAGACTGGGATCTAAACCATAAAACTGGAATTCTCCCCGTTCCTGAGCTCCCATCCCTACACAGCTTTCCTGCTTCTTTCGGCCTGCTTTCTCCAGGGAAGGGCTACAAACACAGCAGACCAGTAGCGGCTCAGAGCTCAAAAACAAAATACATCTTTTGATAGCAAGCAGTATTAAGTGAAGGTAAATTAGCCCAAGGAAAATGCTTTTTATAAATGACCAAGAGTTCATGCTTTAAATTATCTTTCTCATCCTAAAGATTTCAGTCTAACGACTCTGTTAAATATGAATACCAAAACCTTTCACTGCAAGTCTCAGCCAGTGTCCTACAGTAAGTCACAGCTGCAAAGCCAGTTTCTCAAATATGCCTGTACTCTACCACCAGATCTTTCCTGAGGGAAAACTACAGCTGTAGAAATAATATAATTATATTACTTATTCAAGCCTTATACATTTCAAGTACTTATACATTTTCTAGTACTCCCAAATTATCCTTCCCATTCAAAGCTGTAAAGCAAAGTTTTTAATTAATACTATTTTAAATAAAATTCCAGCAAAACCAATTAATCTGTATCTTCCACAAATTTAAGCAATATAGTAATAAGATTAAACTCTGCACATATATAAACATATAAATATAAATAACATGAACTGTTAAATCAGCATTTAGTTAAGATCAAAGTTAAACATCTGTAAGAAAACAAGAAATCATCTACAGGGAAGTCTTTGAAACACAAAGACTACAACCAGGACAAACCAAGAAAAATATACATTTTATTAGGAGTTCCACTAGAGCTGCTGTTTATAATACTAGTTTAAATTACAAGATTTTTCTTTATAATATAATAAGCCTATTTCAGTTCTCTAAAAACCAACTGATCTAACAATACAAATCATCATTCAAGTTTTCATTCTACACTTCCAGACTAATGTACAGGGAGAAAATGACTTTAAAAGCATGCTCCCTACTGCTTTTAAACAGTCTTTTTTAATAAGACTGATAATGAAGCTCATCTGCAATTCTACCAGTTTTAGTATGAAACAAATGCCATACTCCCTCCCTTCTCCTCAAAGCAATCCAGAAACTTGTATTATACATCTCTCATAAAGACCAGCACTCTTCATTCCTCAATAATGAAATTTCCCCATAAGTGGCACAAAATTATTCCATTTAGGAACCAACATTTACACAAAAACTAGTATTCATAAAAAACGCCTCATGCAGATATGGCTGCGATGACGGTACTTAAACATGCAGATCACACTATTCTGCAGATAAGATTCGCATTCTAAAACATAATTGTATGTGTCTTCCCCCATACTTTGGCAGAACTGTCAAAACAAATTTTCAATAGGGAAAACTGTCAGATGCACTGCTATTGAGCCAATTATCGGCATCCTATCCAAAACACAACTTAGGCTGATGTAGAAACTTCCCTCTGACCCACTGCAGCATTTGGAGGTCCCAAGCACAAAGTGAGAATTTCTTTCCATTAAAAAAAGCTAGAAATCACAAACTATATGTTAAAATGAAATGAATCCATCTTAGATTTGCAGTAAATTAGGAAAACAGAAGAATCTGAAGCTAAAAATCAGGCTGAGTTCCAATTCTGACTCTATGTTAGCAGTGTGACCCTGAGCGAAGTGCTAGAACCTCATTAAGCCCCAGTTTACTCTCCTTTAGAGTATGATATACCCACCTCAGGATTGTCATGAAAACTGAATGAAAAAACTCAGGTAAAGATGTTTAGCACAGAGCCTGGCACCCAGGACAGCCCTCATCTGATTTCAGCTATTAATATCTTCATCATCATTTGGTTATTTGAAGTAATGAAAAGCCAATGAAAATAGGAAACTACTAATAAACAACCATCAAAGGAGAAATTTCAGCTCAACTTCTTGGTAACAATTAAAGGTAAGTTAAGACGTTTTACAATGAACACTACTACTTTCCAATGAGAAAGCAGATTTATCTTATATTTTGTTTCATAAAAGTAGAGAAACAGTTAATACTTTTAACTGTACCTACATCAAGTCTTATTGTATCAGTTCTTTACAGACAAACTAGGAATGTATTCCATCATTCCTATTTATCTAGGAAACAATGATAAAGAAGCAAATTAACTTCACAGACCCTTTCCAAATAAAATCTCTCTGGCATGCCAGTGTTTCAGTTTTACACAGCTCAAATCTATATATGTTTTCATCTTCATTAAGTAATTTTTAAAGATGAATTAGTAGTCTATTTCTTGAAGACATACACACTGCTTTCTTACAAACAACCTTACGGTTTCTGGCCAGTTCAACAAAAATCAAACCTACAGTCTAAAGGAGAATCTTCCTGAATGAGCAAACTAAATGAAGTAAAAATAAACATATGGCCCCAAGCACAATGGGGCCACATTATAACTAAATCCAGAAGAGCTCAGAACTTAGTGTAAGACAGTTCTGTTTTAGAAATTTAGACTGGATATACTAGAAATAACTATGCAGACATTTGTATACAAATTGTTAACCACAAAATTCTGACAGCATGAGTCGGAGGGTAAGCATTACTCCAAGATCTCAGAACCTAAGAACAGGGCTACCCACGTAAAAGGTTCTGAATAAACAGCAGCTGAAAGAGTAAATAAATTCCAGAACCAAAGACAAAAGTAGATATGGTACTAAAGGCTCCACCTACAGACTATCTCAGAGTAAGTCACAAAAGAAGAATAATCTCACCTATTAAAGTCATTTCAGGTTAACCAACTTTCAAACACTGTACCTAATAATCTAATATTGAAGTGCCTATAGCTATAACATTTTTTAAAATGCATGAGCATTTAACAGCTTTCCCTACTTGACTGGGCCAGCAAGCAAACATTTGCATAAAATATGAAATTTCATGAAATCAGAAACCTCAACAGGCATATGAACAAGCACACTGAACAGAACAGTTTACAAATACAAATGCCTAGCCCTCCCCATGAAATGAAAGCAGCATTAAAACATTAAACTAAAAAGCAGTACACACCTTTAATGCAATTTTGACTCTTTTAATCTTTTTGACCTTTTCAACTGTCTTTGGCCGACAATGTAAAAAGCAGATTGGAAGAATGTTAGTATGACAGCTGACAAGATCACCAGCAGATTAATAATAGTCAGAATAGTCAAGCAGGACAGGAAAAAGAATATTTTTTAAAATTCTGCCTACTTAAAAAAAGTACAAATTTACCATGCTACTGAGAATACTGGCCATTTTCAAATTATATCAAGTTAAAAGCAAAAACAGTTTAAAAATCTAGAGAAATATCCTATATTATAACTTACAGGATTCAGGGTATTACACTGGTCTATAGGATTCTTGTAATCAGTCTTCAGCTCATCGAATGCTATAATCTAAAATAAAAATAAAATAGTTAGGATCTCCCACTTTAACAAAAAGTGGCAACAAACCTGCCCCATCAAGCAATAATTCAATAAAGTTAATGAAGAAGTGTACTAACTTTACATGTACCAGTTTACAGTAAACACAGTATGTGCTCATTAACAAATAACTATAATCACATTTAAAGAAGTGAAAACATGTACATCATTATCACTAAAATGATAAATATCTTCAATTTTCAATTTTTTCAATGCCTCCACTCAAATTATTTTCTCTGCTTGAAATAGTCTTTCCTTAAGCCATAATTATTTACGGAAACCCCTCTTTATCATCCTAAAAAACACTCTTCCTATGTCAACCCCTCCCAGTAGATTTCCCTGACTTCCTTGGGCAGAAATAACTGCATGCCTGTCTATCATCTCCACATAGCACAGGGCTTTATAAGGCTACCAGGCTGGCATTGCTCATACTAGAGAGGATTTAAGTTCAGGTTTGTGCCCTCCTCCAGACTCTGTGGCCCTCAGGGTGAAGTGTTTTTAATCATCTGTGCATGTCCACCTCCGTCACAGTGTTCAGTAGGACACCAGAAATGGACTCGCATGCTTCAATTTGTTCCCATTTGTGTCCAAACACATATTAATTCAAGGGCCTGCTTTGATTTGGAAATTTCAAGAAATGGCCTCAGAATAGCAGCTTCTGCACAGGACCAAAGGCCAGGTGGGACACAACGCCATCGCAGGCTCCTGCTGCCAAACACCCTGGCATGGGCTTTGCACCAGGGCTTGTTCAGGAGCGAAGACTTTTCCAGTCCTTCTGCCTCAAGGGCATCTTATTCTAAAAAACCTTAAGACACCACACAGCAAAGAGTAGGCCTGTTTAAGGCCACTACAAAAGTGATCAATCTGACCTTGTTTCATGTCCTCAGTATATTCCTGCCACGTGCAGGTCCTTTCATCTGGTCACCAAACGAAAGACTAAAGAAAGGTAAAGCCCAGGTTAAGGCCAGCTTCTCAGGGTGTGACAAGTGAAACAGTTACATACGAGGTAAGAGGGGAGAGAGCTCACTCACTTAAAATACATAGCAAGAGTAAATCAACTAAAATCAACTTTAATATAAACAAATAAATGAACAAATACATTTTTTAAAAATCATACCATTAAAAAAAAAAAACCATGGAAAGAATCACAAATTATTCTGTCCAAGAAACAGACTCACAGACTCAAGAGAATGATCTTAAGGTTGCCAGGGGGAAAGGATGGAGGGGAAAAGATAGGGAGTCTGGGATGGACAGGTACACATGGCTATATTTAAAATGGATAACCAACAAAGACCTACTGTATAGCTCAGGGAACACTGCTCAATGTTATGTGTCAGCCTGGATGGGAGGAGAGTTTGAGGGAGAACGGATACATGTATATGTATGGCTGAGTCCCTTTGCTGTCCACCTGAAACGACCATACCATTGTTAACTTGCTATACTCCAATGCAAAATAAAAAGTTTAATTTAAAAAAATACGTCAACGGGGGCTAAAAATGTTTCTGTCCAAACTTTGAAAAGAAATGTGGCATTAATATTTTGGGTCAATGAACACAGAATTTCAAAACCAAAATGCACGAAAAATCAAATTGGGGTGACACAACACTGTGGTGTTCAATGTCACAGTAAGAAACCAAAGGCCCCAAGTTTACGGAGAAGCTATTTTACCTGCTGCCACTAATCACCCAAGGGACAGAGAATTCAATCCGCCCTTCCTCTGGTGGGCTAGGACTAGTATCTTTATATGTGAGACAGTGCTACTCAATATTACCAAAAATCACTTAAGTCATATATTTCTACCTTTTAATATGCTGGTTTAAATCCTTAAACCTTAAATCCTGTTAAAATCCTTAGCTTCATAAAAAGATGAATTTGATTTCTGGAATTTTTATAAAATTCACCAACCTGGCCTAATAAAAATTCTAATGCAAACAGAAATGGAAGGAAATTAAACATTAAAATGTAAGCTCCACGAAAGCAAAGGTTTTTGCTGGGTTCACTGCTCTGTTCCAGGGCCTAAAATAGTGCCTGGCACATAGTTAAGTGTCCAATCAATATTTACTGAATAAAAGGTGGGGGAGGGAAAAAAACAACCCTATGCTTAAAATAAAGTACAGAACTCACCAAAAGGCATTTTCCCTTGGGATTCCCTGATAGCCCAAAGAATCTGCCTGCAATGCAGGAGACCCTGGTTTAATTCATGGGTCAGGAAGATGGGCTGGAGAAGGGATAGGCAACCCACTCCAGTATTCTTGGGCTTCCCTTGTGGCTCAGCTGGTAAAGAATCTCCTGCATGCCTGAGACCTGGGTTTGATCCCTGGGTTGGGAAGATGCCCAGGAGAAGGGAAAGGCTACCCCCTCCAGTATTCTGGCCTAGAGAATTCCATGGACTATATAGTCCATGGCATCACAAAGAGTCTGATACGACTGAGTGACTTTCACTTTCAATGACCCATAACACACATACATGTTAAAAACACAAGTGTACAATTAAAGATATCAATTTATGATGTTTTATAGATATTATTGATGTTGAAGCCAAAACTCCAATACTTTGGCCACCTGATGCGAAGAGCTGACACATTGGAAAAGACCCTGATGCTGGGAGGGATTTGGGGCAGGAGGAGAAGGGGACGACAGAGGATGAGATGGTTGGATGGCATCACCGACTCAATGGACATGGGTTTGGGTGGACTCAGGGAGTTGGTGATGGACAGGGAGGCCTGGCGTGCTGCGGTTCATAGGGTCGCAAAGAGTCAGACACGACTGAGCAACTAAACTGAACTGACAGATATTATTAGTCAATTATCTGATATCAGCTGTGATATACTCTCAGAGAAATGGCAACCCATTCCAGAATTCTTGCCTGGAAAATTTCATGGACAAAGGAGCTTGGTGGGCTACAGTCCATGGAGCTGAAAAGACTCGGACCCGACTTAGTGGCTAAACCACCACCACCATAAGCTTCAAGACTAGGACCATGATCACAAATGCAATTACTTCCCTTTAGCAAGATCCAATTTAATAGCAAAGTACGACACTTGTACTTATACTTTTTTCCCACTGGACATTTTCTTCAGGTGATTTCAAAGGATCTTTTAATGAGTTTGTTGCTGAATGGGTTTCTGTTTGAGTGCTATAAGCTAGAGTTGTCAAAACTCTTCTGAAGAGACTCTTAAAACTACTGGTTTTCAAATCTTTTGTGACTGTGGGTCTGGACAAGGATGTTCACAAAATTTTCCACAGAAGCTCAAAAACAAAAATAAATAATTTGATGCACATCTTTGGAGAATGACTTCTGCACTTTTAGCTTTCAAACAAGCCTGTGCTCCCCAGCTCTGTTCTCCAAAAAGCATCAAGCACATGAATGAGGACTACACTGACAAATGTAACCATCAGCATTAAAAAAAATCCTCCATAGGACAGTTAACATAAAGGAGATTTTTTAAATTTATACTTGAAATTTCCAGATGACTCTTCTCACAGATACTTAAACTACCTAAGAAAACAAACTGAAGGTTACATAGATAACAGAAAAATTAAAACTATGTCTTTATTTAGAATTTTCAATTTGTTCCCAAAGGATACATAATCCTCTGAACTACTAAGAAATCCCTAAGGACATAAGCTCTCCACTAATCTGAGTACAAACAAATTTTTAATTCTATAACAAGACTTAAAACTATCTGTGCGAGCTGTATGCTAAATCACTTCAGTCATATCAGACTCTCTGCGACCCTATGGACCAAAGCTCACCAGCCTCTCCTTGGGATTCTCCAGCAATAATACTGCAGTGGGTTGCTGTGCCCTCCTCCAGAGGATCTTCCCAACCCAGGAATCAAGCCTGTGTCTCTTATGTCTCCTCCAGTGGGTTCTTTACCATTAGCACCATCTGGGAAATCCACCCCCCCCCTCAAATACCTATTTCACCCAAACACATATTCATTTAAATTGCCCATTTTTTAAAAAGTGCATTTCCAGGTTTTCTTTAAGTCAAACACAATCTAGTTCAAAATGTAAGCATCCACAGCTCTAAGAATCCTCATCAGCTCATCAGAAAACAAGTGCCCATGAATCAGGAAATGATTAAATCCTCATCTACAGATGGCAGGGAACCACACATTTCAGTTTCATCAGAGGCTTACTAAGGCAGAGCTAGTTTGCATCCCGAATTATCTTTATTTTATTTATTAAGGAAGAGTCAAAGAAGAGTCCAAAATGCTCTTCAAGTTATGGGTTCCTACTGAAAAGCATTTCCAGAGAACAGTTACTTAACAGCCTGCATAAGCATTCCCCACTACACAAGCAGTTGGGTTTCAAATATTTATAAACATAATCACCCTCTTTAGCAAAAGGGAATGGATTTAGATTTTTTTTTTTTTTGCACACGACACTGCTGCCACTTAAATCACTCTGCTCCTCTGTTCCATAACAAATCCTTGCTATGGACATGATGAAACCTGACTTAAGATTTACCTAAGAGTGAACCTGCCCCATCATCCAAATTAAGACCAATATTCCAGAAGGTATGGAGGGCAGAGCAAACATAAGATAAATTTTAAATGAATGCTGATTTCCAAAAGGCTGCTTCTAATCTTATGTTAGAGAAACAGGAATCCTTAAAAAATCTCTTGAAGAGGGCTTCCCTGGTGGTCCAGTTATTAATAATCTGAATTGCAATGCAGGAGACACCAGTTGGATCCCTGGTCCAGAGACCCCACACGCGGCAGGGCAACTAAGCCTGCGTGCCGCAACTACTGAAACCTGTAAGCCCGAGAGCCCAGGCTCCAAAACAAGAAAAGACACTGCAATGAGAAGCCCACGACCACAACAAAGACCCAGGGCAGCCAAAAATAAATTAAAAAAAAAAAATATATATATATATATATATATATATCTCGCAGAACTATTTTAGAGAAACAAGAATCCGTAAAGATCTCTTGCAGAACTATTTCACAGAGAACTTAACTTGTTCTTACAGAGACCAGTAAGGATGTGCTTCTGTACCGCAACCTGATATGAGTAAAAGAAGGGGGAAATTGTCCTAGAGAAGCCTAAGTTTTCTGAGCATTTTCAAAATCAAAATGAAACTCTCTCTACTACGTCAAACTACTCCGAATACAGAAGTGGCTAAGAAGACTTGTCTCTGGAGAAACTCTGTAGGTCAAAGTATGATTTAGGGGAAAAGTTCGGTCAACAAAGTAATCAATTCAACCTGCATCAAAGTTCACCGGGCAACAAGAATCCGGGGAGGAAAAAGTGATTTTACTTGAAGTGCTGAAAAGCAGAGTTGGAAATTTATCTAAAGTAGGTTACGATTTGGGCCACACTCCTGTGAATACCCGACAACAAAGGCAATCAGTATTAAATATTAACAATAATTAGGCAAACTTCATTACGGCTAAGCACGTAGCACGCCTCTCTGCGCCCTTGACATCCTGCATGTGATGCGAGACCTCGGGGATGCGGAGCGGGTTAGCTAAGCGCTATCCCGCAGGGCCCGTCAGCATCGCGGCCGCCCCACCCGGCGCGGGAAGAGCAGCGGCGCGCGCGGCCTGCGCCGGGACACCGCGGGCGCAGCCAGCCAACCGCCCGACGCCTCGACTCCTCCTGGACCTGCAGCTCCCGACCCGGGGACGGAGGGGCGCGTAGACCCCTGGCCGCGCGGCCTGCACCGCCCCGGCCTGGCCCCATCCCGGGCGTGCCGACCTCCGAAGACCGTGGCCGCCCAGACCACGGGCCCGGGGCAAGAAGAGGCTGCGCCGCCACCTCGCCCTCCTTGCCCCGGCCCCGGTTACTCACGTGCCAAATGGCGAAGAAGATGAGCGCGGCGGTGAGCAGCAGCGCCAGCATATAGCAGAAGGCCGCGAACGTGAACGCCATGGCCGGGGAGAAGGCAGCAGCGCCCGTGCCAGCGGAGAAAAGCCGCGCAGGGCCCTCTGGGTAAAACCATTCACTTCCCGCGGCCGCAGCCCACACAGCCTCTTGCCGCCGCCCCCGCCACCGCGGCCCCTGCCCTCCCAATGCGCCTGCGCACCGTTCCCGGTGCAAGGCGCCCTCCGGTGGCCAGAGTTCGCCCTGCGCTTATATTGTTTGCATAGCGGATTGATTTATTTTGTTTACTTCGCTTATTTATTCTTTGAACAAAAATGTTCATTGAATGAGTACCCAGTATCTTCCAAATACTGTGCTTCTCCTTTGCGATACAAAAATGAGTAAAATAATCCTTGCACGGAAAGACGTTAGTATAATGCCGGAAATGAATATGCAACTAAATTATTACCGTATTATAACCCTGTGGCACGTTGTGAAAGGTCAGAGCACAGCAACCAGTCCGCCCTGGAGCGTCCAGGAAAGGATTCCTGGAGTAGGCGTTTCTTAAGTAAAGCTAACATGATGGATAGAAGTTGTCCAGGCATATTTGTCCAGGCTATAGAATCAGCCTTCCAAGGAGATGGTTCAACGAAAGCAAAGGCAGAGATGAAAGTAAGAAAAAAAGCTCAATGTCTTAGGTGAAACCACCTTAGCAGTTCTGAATTAGTGGTTAAGACAGTGTTGAGAGTTTGAAAGGGGTCCCCTAGGGTTTAGATCATATCGTACAAGGATATGCCAGTTAAGGAGCTCAGACTTCATATCCCGTAAGCCCATGTTTTTCAATCAGCTCACCATACACAATTTGACTTTTTCACTGCAACACAACAGAACATCACACACGTTGAATTATAGAGAGATGGACATCTGGATATAGAGACAAAGAAATTCAGATATAACAAAAATTTCACAAAACAAGATTACATATCCACAAGTATCTGTCCTGTTATTCTTTTTTGCTGTTTTGTTTTTAATATTGGTTGAGATCCAGAAAATTGGCTCACCCCCCTGCTAAATGATTGCTGCTGATGAAGTGGAAATCACTGAAAGCTTTTAAACAAGAGAGGGACATATCTAGCTTTGCATTAAAAGATCGCTCACACCAGGAAAATGTATAGAGAATGGTTTAGAAGCAGTCTGTCCAGTGCTGTCCACAGAACTTTCTGCAATGGTGGAAGTTTTCTTTATCAGCGCTGTTCAATATAGTGGCTCTTGATCAGTTGCAATGTAGCTAGTATAACTGAAGAAGTGAACTTTACATTTTACTTATTTTAATTAATTAAAGTTTAAAGAACCACATATGGCTAGTGGTTGCTGTCTTGGATAGCCGTCAGGATTATGTGGCACCTTGGTGCAAATTATAAAGGTATTCTCTCCAGATAAACAGAGCTTCATACCTGGGCACAAGAATGCAGGTTATTCTTCAGTCCTACTAACCTCCTTGGCCAGTCACCTCTGGCAGTATACAAATTGCCCAACTGACACGATGACCCTAATTAGAGAAGCGAGAGATTGGAAGCAAGGAGCCCATAAGAATGATCCAGGCAAAAGTTGCTGTGACTCTGACTAAAGTTGTGAAAACTGGGAGAGAAAGGAGTGGATAGATTTAATAATATTTAGGAGAAATGCTCAGTAGGACTTGATTGACTGGATACAGTGGTGAGAGAGAGGTAGGTGTCAAAAAAGATGTATATGGTACTACAGGCCATGGAAGCATGGCAGAATGCAGCACTAGGCAATATTTGTGCCAGGAGAACTCATGATCTAATGAGATCAGACAGTTTCCTGTTGTCAGGGGAAACAAGAGTTGGTGAGGAAAACTGTCCACGCCAAACCATGAGAGCCAGCCACCTTCTTATAAATGAGTCCAATCTACATTTTGGAAAATGATGTAAATCACCATTTACCTTGAGGATCTACCTTTTGGCAACAAGCTCCCCTGCCCCCTTGGTGACAAATTAATAAATGGAAACCTGAATTAAACATTAGGGTCTGGAGACAAGAAGGGGGAGCTCTCCTGCCCTGTGATGATAGCGGAGTCCTACAGGAAGAAGATATCTTCCTCTTCTTTCCTGGCAAGGTCTCAGCCAACAAAAAGTCCTGGGATCTATGCTTGCCACAGTGCTCCCAACTTCCATTTCCCCCTTTATAAAAGTGTTCTCCCCTTGCCAACTGGACGACTTGCACATGGATACAGATCCTGAATTGCAATTCTCTACTGATTGGGAATAAATCCATCTTTGCTAAAGAAATAGCTGGCTGTCTATTTCAGGTCATGACGTGAAATATATCTTTCCCTTGCCTGGTAACTATGTCAAGCACCTTATCACACAAAGTGGGACAGCCTTCCAAGGACCCACCCTCAGTTCTAGAAGGGATGAATCGCCTGAGAAGGTGGAAGTCAGATAAAATGCTGACTGATTCACTCAGAGGCTGGGGCAGTGTGAGGCTCCCTTCACATTTTAGCAGAGCACGCAGGTAAACTTTAGGCCTGTGTTGGCTAATACAGGAGCCATTAGTCATGTGTGGCTGTTTAAATTGATTAAAACTGAATAAAACTAAAAACTCAGTTCCTCAGCTCCACTAGCCATATTTCAAGAGATCAATAGCCTGCTGTGGTTTCTGGATACCCTATTGGACAACGTAGATACAGACTATTTCCATCATCACATCAAGTCCTATTGGAGAGCATTGCTTCAGACAATAGTACACAACTGTAACTGCTGAGAAAATATTGAGTTGGCCAAAAAGTTTGTTTGGTTTTCCATAAGCAATTGTGGCAAAACCTGAATAAACTTTTTTACCAACCCAATACACCCATTTTAATGAGGGCAAATGGTTAATTAGATCATCCAACCATAGACAAGGCAGCGTGTGAGGAAAAGATTAGATTTCTTTGACATTTTGGAGGACCATTATCAGCAGTAAGTGCAAACAAATCTCAGTATTTTTTTAGACATTGCATTAACCCTTTTTAGCCCATGGGAATAATTTTGTAGTACATGGTGAATTAAGTTCTCACTTCTCCTTACATACATGCGTGGGACTGGATGATACTGCAGATTAATCTTCTGCTTGCTCACTCTCTCTCTCCTCCTCCTCTCTCTTGCCCTGACTCACCTTTGTTCAAGTCATCTTTCTATGAGTTTGTGTCCACTCCACCCACTACTGCCTAGGCCCTCAGCCCAGACAGGTAGGTGCAGGTCAGCCACCAGAGAGCTAGAAAATAAAGCCCACACACACAAAGCATAAGTCTAAGTGAAAGTTAAAGGCGCTCAGTCGTGTCCAGCTCTTTGCGACCCCATGGACTACACAGTCCATGGAATTCTCCAGGCCAGAATACTGGAGTGGGTAGCCTTTCCCTTCTCCAGGGGATCTGCCTAGCCCAGGGATCGAAATGGATCCCAAAAGTTCAGATACAATCTGAGAGAACTTGTCAGCCCCTTAGACTAAATAAAGCAAGTCAGTGCTGAGGAAGAGGGAAGAGGGGGTGCTGAGCAGTCAGGAGAACGTGAGCTCCAGGAAGCTGCAAGTGTCCATGGGAACGAGCACTACCTTGCCAAACTCTGAAGAGCACTTGGCGGCGGAGCTCAGTTTTCCTTTCCGCTGGTGTCTGTAGAGAACTCCGCCATTCGACAGCAGGCCGTCTCCACACATCCACCCCTGAGTGGGAGTGATGCCGCTCCCCTCAGCACCACATTCAGTCCTTCCAAGGAGACATTCCTCTTGCCTCAGCACAGTAGGCTCGCAGACCACACACTTGCTCCGTAAAAAGCAGGCGGGTAGACTGTGCCAAGACATGGCGGTAACGTAAAGAGAGTGCCCCAGCACTATGGTAAGTTGGTCCTCCACCAACTCAAGGTCTTCCACAGGTGGGGAAGAAGCCATCCAGGTGACGTATACCATAAGGAACCCACGATGCTGTGGGAGGACCTGGGCCCTTACGTTGAGTAATGAGCATAGGAAGTTGTGGGCCCGTAGTTCCAAGTCTTCCAGAAGAGCTTTGCATATTTGGGGGAAAGCAACTTCACCTGGTGATTGTGGGTAGCACCTGGACCAAGACATGTGACTGAGACATAAGCCTTGGAAAGAATAGCTCCAGAGCTGGGGAGAACAGGAGGTGGAGCTGAAAGTATTGGTTGTCCCTCAAGCCACTCCCACTTCCTTCCTGTTGGCAGAGCTCAGGGTTTGTTCATGGATTCTTCATTTGCTTCAAGGAGGATCCCTTCCCCCAGCTCCAGTTTTGGGGAAATGCAGCTGCTGCCCCTCCAGAATGATGTCTGACTCCCAACTGCTATGTATGAGGCAGAGCTGATGACTGTTCTATTCTTTTCTGTTTACCACATACATTTCTAAATCACTGGATTAAGGCTACATACAAATAGACTGCTAGTGGCTCAGCGGTAAAGAATCCGCCTGCAATGTAGGGGATGTGGGTTCAATCCCTGGGTTGGCAATATCCCCTGGAGGAGGAAATGGCAACCCACTCCAGTATTCTTGCCTGGTCAATCCCATGGACGGAGGAGCCTGGTGGGCTACATTCCATGGGGTCGAAGAGTTGGACACAACTGAGCCACTAAACCACCACACACAAATGGACTGCATTAGGCTGTCCAGCAAGATGTGGTTTCTCATCCACCTTGCCCTTTGCCCTAGGAGTGCCTATTATACAACCACTATGAGAAGAATCAACGTGCAAAAATGACTCAATCTCATCTATGCAAAATATGTCTACTGTTATTCTTTATTATGTGTGCCTTTTTTAATAAAACCACGTGAAGGTAAAATATTAAAACAGTGAAAAACACATATTTTAAGAGTATGAGTTTTAATACATGTACACCCGCTTGTAATGACCACTCCCAAACAAGACAGAGAACTTGACCATCACCCCACAAAGTTCCCACATGGCCCATCCCCACCCCTTTCCTACTTTCTATGTCTGTAGATTACCTTCACCTGCCCTTGAATTTCATTAAATGGAGTCGTATTATATATATTCTTTGCATCTGGCTGCTTGGACTCAGCATAATATTGGGGGGTTTTCTTTGAGATTCTTCTACAGGAGTTCATTCATTTTTAAAATCAACTTTATTAAAGTTTGCTTTGCATAAAATGAAATATACCCATTTCAAGTGCACAATCAATGAATTTAGGCAAAATTATTTAACTTATATGCAGAGTACATCGTGAGAAACGCTAGGCTGGAGGAAGCACAAGCTGGAATCAAGATTGCCAGGAGAAATATCAATAACCTCAGATATGCAGATGACACCACCCTTATGGCAGAAAGTGAAGAAGAACTAAAGAGCCTCTTGATGAAAGTGAAAGAAGAGAATGAAAAAGTTGGCTTAAACCTCAACGTTCAGAAAACTAAGATCATGGCATCCAGTCCCATCACTTTATGGCAAATAGATGGGGAAACAATGGAAACAGTGGCTGACTTTATTTTGGGGGGCTCCAAAATCACTGCAGATGGTGATTGCAGCCATGAAATTAAAAGACGCTTACTCCTTGGAAGGAAAGTTATGACCAACCTAGACAGCATATTAAAAAGCAGAGACATTACTTTGCCAACAAAGGTCTGTCTAGTCAAGGCTATGGATCTTCCAGTGGTCATGTATGGATGTGAGAGTTGGACTGTGAAGAAAGCTGGGCGCAGAAGAATTGATGCTTTTGAACTGTGGTGTTGGAGAAGACTCTTGAGAGTCCCTTGGAATTCAAGGAGATCCAACCAGTCCATCCTAAAGGAGATCAGTCCTGGGCATTCATTGGAAGGACTGATGTTGAAGCTGAAACTCCAATATTTTGGCCACCTGATGCAAAGAGCTGACTCATTTGAAAAGACCCTGATGGTGGAAAAGATTGAGGGCAGGAGGAGAAGGGCACAACAGAGGATAAGATGGTTGGATGGCATCACCGATTCAATGGACATGGGTTTGGGTGGACTCCGGGAGTTGGTGATAGACAGGGAGGCCTGGCATGCTGCGGTTCATAGGGTCGCAGAGTCAGACACGACTGAGCGACTGAACTGAACTGAACTGATACACTCAGGTAACCACCCATAATCTGTGTGCTCAACATTTGCAACATCCCCAAAGTTTTCCACTGTGCTTCCTCCCAATGCGTAGCCCAAGGCTACTGATGATCTGTCATTACAGATTAGATTTGTCTTTTCTAGAGTACCTTACCATTAAAATTATACAGTATGAAAAAAAATAAAATTATACAGTATGTATTCTTATGTCTGGATTCTTTCAGCATATTTCTGAGATTCATCAATGTTATTGCTGTGCTACTAGTTCATTCCTTTTTGTTGCTCTGTATTATTCCATTATACAAATATATCACAAAGACATCTAGATTATTTCCAGGCTGGGGTTACTATGGATAAATATGCTATATACATTCTTGTGCAAGTCTTTCTTTGCAGACATATATTTTCATTTCTCTTAGGTAAATACTTAAGAGTGAAATTGCTGAGTCATAGAGAAGGTGCTGTGTTCTTTGTTGCTTTTAAATCACTTAATTCCAACTCTAATTCTGCTTCCACTAAATTAGTGGAAGTTTCTGTACCAGGTGTTATTGGGGATCTTCCTTCCCATTGTCACACCAGTGTCCTGGAAATGTATGTGGTCACAGCAGCAAAACTGACAGGTATCGGAATCTTTGCCAATGTTAGAAACTCTGGTCCCTCCAGCATCCTGGGGTCCCCCTTTCTATTACATCACCACCTCCCCAGGGTCCACAGAGCAGGGCACAGGTCTCCACTCCAATGTTCTATTGACTATTTTCTCTCTAGTGCCTCTCCATTTGTGGCCTTGGTGACTCAGATAGTAAAGAATCTGCCTGCAATGAGGGAGACCTGGGTTCGATCCCTGAGTCAGGAAGATCCCATAGAGAAGGGAATGGCAACCCACTCCAGTATTCTTGGAGAATTCCATGGACAGAAGAGCCTGGCACGCTGCAGTCCATGGGGTCGCAAAGAGTCAGACACAACTGAGCGATGAACCCTTTCACCTCTGTTGCTGAGTGTCCTTATATATCTCACATTCAAACTCCTGAGAGACAGGGTCTGCTTGGGGACATTGCCCTAGTTGGGCAGAGCGTTGCCTAGGTGCTAGGTACCCACAACTGTGCAAAACCGCAGACCTCTGATCGCTTTCCAGTTTAGGAGACTGTCTAGCTATTCTCTCTTCTTTCTCTTCTCAACCCCCAAAATCTTTACACATCACCCTCTCCACAGGAACACGCAGCAGTTTCTTCAGTGTGATTAGAGCTTTCACAAGGGGGGAGGAGAGGTTGTAATCAGAACACCCTCTGTATTTCCTTCTCCCTATGCAACACATTGCTCTCAAATTTCCTTTACTAGATGTTCTACCAGTTGGATCTGTGAATGGTTTTTCAGGCCCATTGGAGTTGCAAGGAACAGGGTTGTGCCCAGGTTGTGTGGGTTTAGGGAGGTTTATTATAGTTAGACTGGCAAGTAGAGGAACCTGGAACTGCTGCCTGGGCGCTGCTCCACCCAACCAACACCACATCTCCAAGTGTACCGCACACACACCCTGTGTCTCTGGGAGTGTGACTGTGAGATATACAAGGGCATTAGGCAACAGAGGGCCAGGCCACAAGTGGAGAGATACTAAAGAGAAAGCAGTCGACAGAACCCAGAAGTAAGTGGAATCCCAGGGTAAGTTGAAACCATAAATAACACAAGTATGAGTAGACCAAAACCATATCTAAGCAGAAGTAAAGTAGCCACTTTCCCCACTGGAGTGTGTTTCTCTTCCTAAACAAGAACGGCAAGGTTTTCCAACTCAGTAACAGTCAAAAGCTCAGCATGTTCACTGCTTGGCTGCTTGGGTATACATTGACCATGTCATCCTAAGCCGGCCTCACTGGACCCTAAACCATCACAGAACCTGATGTGGGGAGTCTAGTAACTCCACTGGCTCAGGGAAAAAAAGGAGGAAAAAAATAAAGAGCAAATCTGCAGAAATAACAGAGCAAGGCGTGGTGCATGGAGGTACTTTTCAGCTAGTGTGTAGCGCCATTCTCAGGGCTTCTACATGTGGTAATTAGGCTGGCTAATGAGTGCATTGTGTTGTTTAGTTGCTAAGTTGTGTTTGACTCTTTTGCATCCTCATGGACCATGGCCCGCCAGGCTCCTGTGTTGATGGAATTTTCCAGGTAAGAATACTGGAGTGGGTTGCCATTCCCTCCTCCAGGGGATCTCCCTGACCCAGGGATCAAACCCTGGGTTTCCTGCATTAGCAGCAGATTCTTTACCACCGAGCCACCAGGGAAGCATTGGTACCTGCTTTATCTGTTAACCTTTGGATTTTACACTCGTGTGGTTAATCTTTAAACTGTACCCTCTCATGATCTTTATACACTTTTGTTAGTAGAAATCTTTTGTAATTTTTTAAAAGTAACAAGTTTACAACTTTAAAAGAAGTCATTTTCCTCCAGTTCTGTTGGACCAACTCTATTTGTTTCTCAAAGAGAGCCCCAAGCTGAAAGTGAAAGTGCAAGTCGCTTGGTCGTGTCTGACTCTGCGACCCCATGGATAGTCCATGGAATTCTCCAGGCCAGAATACTGGAGTGGGTAGCCTTTCCCTTCTCCAGGGGATCTTCCCAAGCCAGAGATTGAACCCAGCCCAAAGCTGGTAAAACAATAATGAGATTCCACCTCTCACCTCCAGGGTTATAAGGACTCTCACCTTTGGACGTTGGGCTGCAACCTGGTCAGGCCAGGGCAGGTGCCGACCTAGACAGTCACCATGTTGCAATGCACTGGA